TCTTAGCCACTCAATCACTTCTAATCCTTCCAGCAATATTGTACCCTTTTTCGCTTCCCTTACCTTCAGGCTTACCTTCCCCTTGATTCTCATCTCTTCGAACADRARATTTTTTGCTTCTATCTTCAAGGATCTCCTCCACTGACCTGCCTGCACGAACTCCATTTCTCTAACTTGATCAACAGCTTTCTTCACCCACTATGTTAAACACTATGCACATGTTGATCTTATAGCATAACTAAGTGTTGCACATGATGTTGGAGTTTAACTGACACACTTGGATGGTTGGTCTGTAGTTGTCAAGAACATGTGGTGAAGAACATATATGTATTGTTACTCAGAGGATGGTGTAGTCAGTTGTGGGTCTATTCTTCTAATCTCAGACTGGAGAAGACAGCAAGATGAAGGAGAAAGAAAACTTGTCTGATCTGTACTCAAGCCCAGTAGAACTGCTCCGATACCATATTAACAGAAAAAGTAGAAGAAATATGGAAGAAGAAGAAGAAGAAGAAGAAGAAGAAGAAGAAGAAGAAGAAGAAGAAAAGAAGAGAGAGAGAGAAGGGAGAAGGGAGAAGGGAAGAGAAAAAAATTGAGAGAATCCTTGAAGATATTTCAAACATAGCATTCTCCTTGTTAAAGATGTTTATAAGTAAAATACTGAAATGTGAGAACTAATGGCAAGCTTTTTGTAGAGTTTACTGTATTTTTCCAATGGTGAAGCACATAGCCATACATTTGAAGATATTACAAGTTACAACTCTTTGGTAGTAGAGAAAAAAATAAGATGGATCTGCATTGAAACATAGAAAAATAACTTTTTAAGGGCCATTGCCTAATCATGGCCCCAGTCATCTAGGGTCTTGGGAAGGTCTACTAAGAGCTCCTTTTTTGATAAATAAAACAAAGTTAACTTGGATTAAGGAGTAGTACCAACTACTAAGAGCCTTATTTTCAAGTGTGTTTTAAACAGTTCATTGAAAAATGGCTAGATATATTTTCACTGTCATCTCTATATCCTATATGCAGTGTTTTTACCCATTATTAAATGTATACACTTACCATTGTGTGTTAATGAAGGAAACACACATTGCATTTCAAGAATGTGTATGTGTGTGTGTGTGTGTGTGTGTGAGAAAGAGAGAGAGAGAGAGAGAGAGAGACGCATCAAATCTTAGCATACAGATGTAAGAAGCACTTGGAAATTGCAATCATCGACTTCTATTCTGAAATATCTACTTACCATACATATAATTGTTTCCAAACATCTTGTGGAAGCAGTATGTAGTCACGCCCCTCTACAAGAGCATCATGAAGCTCCGATCCCAGGTTGGATTCCTCTGAGACTGCATCATACATTAAATCAGAATTATCAATGGCAGGAGGTCTCTTCAAATTACTTGAACCAGCTGATTCGCAATACTCAGGAGTATACAATGAGGATCCATCATTTGTGGTATTTGTTTGGTCTTGGTTCACATAATCAAGCCAGTTTTGCCACCATCTGATTGCAACCAAATGGAAGTCAGAGACCTTCTAGTAGTTAAATTTGCCCTTTCAAAGGAAAAAAAAGGCATAAATAATCACAGATATCAAACACATCTGTGCATACATACAAGCACACTTTTTAATATGTTTTGAGGACTTCCCACTATCGAGGGCATGCATAAGAGCTTAGTACAAGTAGTAGAACTGTATTACCTTCAAGAAAAGGGTAGTAGAAGTGTAGAACTGTATTTATTCATTGTTTTGAAAAGTTAGTGCATCCATAGTCCATAGATAAAAGAAAACCAAACAATGGAAACACTCCCGTATTTATGTGCATGAGCACACAAAAACTTCACTGCACAAGAAGCTTGTAGAAACCATGCAAGTATGAAAAAGGTTCATCACATAGGGTGATTTTTTAAGTTTGAGGATTAATTCTTACAGGTCCAATCAAATCCTGTGCTCATTACCAATTCCACCATGCAGTTACAGACCTAGAACTATATAAACACAGGACATTTGAAAGAAAAATGTGAGACACACAAACATAGATCTTATGCTCTTATATTATTGCAATATTGCCTCAAGAATGAATAGTCCAACAGAGCTGCCTGCTGCCCCTTTTATAAACTAGCAATGTCTGAGAATTCAAATAATTTGCAGCATTGCTATTAAGACACACTGTTATAGAGAGGCCTCTGAAGCAACTTGCTCTTGAAACATCTAAGTCATGTCTAAAGCACAGGAATAGGAACATTTCTCAATTAAGTAAGCACTTAATGTTTATGGTTACTCGTGAGCATTTCAATTCAATAGCTAATGCAGGTTGACTTATGTACATACCTTAACAAGGTGAGAAATAAATAAATAAAAAAAAATCTGTCTCTTGCTTCTAAATACAGTTATTACTAATTATATGCATGCCTAGTCAAAGAAAAAATGCTCCATTTGACTATTTGACACTACATTTGGTTTATTAAGTCTACTTACCTACCTGTTTCATTTTTCAATAATTGGCATTGTATCTTGAGGATAAGTCAAGCAATTTTGACCTGATGATCACTATATGAATTCCATTGATTAAAAAAAACTATCGAAATCCCATTCCACTATTCTGCTCCATGTAAAATTCTCTCATTTCTTTCAGACCATATACACTAGAAAAATCACCAACAGTGTAATTCCCAAACCACTTTGCCCTCCTCACTGAGTTAAAAGCACCCCATATAAGGGCGCATACTTCTCTAGTAAAACTATGGTGCAGGAAAAAAATGGCATGTAGTCCCTTCCTCAAGTCTAAAAGGGACCCAATCAGTATTGTCTAGTTCCATTCTGCTCCATATGTGTCACTGACAGGATCTTTATCCTTACTCTTTAGCTTCATCATCCTGTTCCACCATCCTCCTCTATATACGCCACTGATTGGATAAATACCTAAATTGCTGGGAATCAGCTCGTTTCAGCTTCAAACTCCATGCAAGATGAGATCGCATTCTAGTTTTCACGATTCAAGAAAATGTGCAAAAGTTCATTTGACAAGAACTGATCTTTTCTCTTTATCGTGAGTGGCTATTGAAGAGTCTAACTCTAAGATCTTCGGTTTTGAAGTTCATGTTTTCAAGGAAAAATGTGTAACTCACTAGTAAAAAAAGAACTTACTCTCCACAGCTTAGACGCTGAGATGGTGAAAACAAGAAACGCTGAGCCAAAAAAAACGGTATTAAAAACAAGAGACCTCCATCTTCATATGCAAGTGCTGGTCGACTTCTTCACTTATCAATTAAATGCATACAACAATAAAAAGGAGAAAAACAATCTTGTCACTTAATAGTGTCAAAGCAAGCATCGGAACCCTAGGTCTGTCCGTTCCGTTCGAATACTTATTTCCGATATTTCAATTCCACAAGTCCCATTATTGCGACTATCAAAATGAAGGGTTTCTAAGGTCCATTAAGATCTCCAATCCATAAAGCTACAAAAATTAGATGATTGACACATGAGAGGATTTTCCAGAATTTCTAGACCGGCTGTCCATAAAAACGGTTTAAATCGAACTAAAACAGCACAAAAAAATTATAATTTTCCAAATTATCTATGATGAAAATGCGATCAAGATAAGAAGACGAGGGGCTTAACCTTTGAGTGATGAGATAAAAGGTGTCTCCTTCCTTGACCTGAGCTTCAGCAGCCATGATAATGTCTCTGATCATGAGCCTCTCTGCTTCTTGTGTGAGCTCTGAGCTGCATATTGAGCCCTCCATCGTCCAGAGAGCTGTTACAGATCCAAAATTCCAAATCTTCGTCCTTCGGCGTTTTTCCGTTTTCCAGTTAACTGCAATAGCTAAACAATGAACCCGGCCGGTGTCTACACCATATGATCTGTCTATAAGCCTATTGTTAAAAAATTAAAAAAAAAATGAAAATATACGAAAAAACTTAGGTCAGATCATCCACCAAGTTTTGTTCAAATGAATGGGTTTTTTGTTCAAATACTTATACCATTTCCCAGGTTTTGCAATCAAAAAACTAGTTAGAGCTACAATGGAATTGTTTTACCAAAATGTCCTTAATGGCATAAATATAAATTTTGCCTCAAAAAATATTAAATAGGGAAAATTAGGATGAAACTCGGGCAGGCCCAACTTGAGCTCTGACCTACCTAGGGCACAATTTTATATGATTGGACTTGGATTTTCGGTCCTCAAGTTAGACATGACCCAAATACTTCAGGCCTTTTTTTTTTGTAAGAAAAAAGATGAGCTACACAAGGCAGGGGTAGTTCGGAGGATCCAGAGATGGAATCGAAGGAAAACAAAAGAATAGAAGATCCATAGAAACAAGAGCTTGATTTGCTAACCAATTTGTCGCTTGATTCACTTCTCTAAAGGACGGGAATACAAAGCTCCATGATCCAGCTTGTCTGCTAATCTCCCGCACTCTCTGGTGATGTTCTTTAGTCTTCATTAGGACGCATCGGTTCTTCAAGCATGAGATAACTAAAAAGGAGTCTCCTTCAAAATTGATAGGAAAAGACATGAAGTTTTGGGCCATATTGTGGGCTTCCCATGCAGCCCAAGCTTCAGCCACGTTGATTGTAGTACAGCCCACCGAGTACGCTTTGTAATCCAAAACTTCCTCACGAAAATTTCTCACAATACAAGCAATAATGGAAGAACCATCATTCTTTCTTGAGGCGTCGAAATTTATCTTAATCATACCCCCCTTTGGCCCTTTCCACATGACTGCTTTCAAAGTTCTTGATTATCTAATTTAACATCAAATGAAGAACCTGAGTGAAATTCCTTGAAAGCTTAATGAGCTTTTTCGATAATAACCGAGGATGAGGACCTATTATTGAACATTCTTTCATTTCTATTCTTCCATAAAAACCACAAAATAAAACAAATTTTCTCAGGCACACAGTCCTCAATATTTGGATTATTACTTAAATTGCACCACTAGTCTATCATCGAAGCTCCACTAAAAGATTGCCCTACCACAAAGTGGTTGAACATTTGCCACACTTGTAGATAAAAAGGTACACTTAAGAAAGATATGCTCAGAATTCTCGATCTCACCACAAAAACAATGAGAATCATTAGTGGGTAGGCCCTTAGATATGAGCATAGCCTTTGTCAAAAGGCGATTATTTAAGAAAAAATATATAAATGTTTTCAGTTTTGGGGGAATCCTAAGGCCTCAAACCTTATTGAGAACCTGATTTACACCCCCACTACCTCTTGCCATGCGATGGGCTTCCTTATAAGATGACTTAATGGTGAAATTTCCTTTGGGATCACCTCGCCAAATAATGTTATTGTCCTTTAACTCCGAAGGAATCAAAATAGGCCTAATAATGTTCCAAACATGATTTGGAACAATACTATTGATCCTATCTTCCTTCCACACTTTTCTCTTGTGATCTATAAATTCCTCGACTTTGATATCATTACCAAAATTAGGAGAATCACTACTCACTATCTCCTCAATAAAAGCTATGATCAATCCATTTATCTTTCCATAAAAGCACTTTATGCCCATTACCAATGACCCAATCAATACCCTCTTAAGCAGGTTTCTAGCATTAAGAATCCCTCTCCAGGCCCAAGAAATGCCATTTTTAATAGGGGTATTCTAGAGGTCTCCATTTCTCAAATATTTATGGGTAACCACTTTTACCCATAAATTAGTTTGATCTTCCAAGATTTTCCCTCCGAGCTTAGCAAGACAAGCTTCATTCACCCACTATAAATTTTTTATGCCAAGCCCACCCCAACTGGTAAGCATATTTTCTCCCATTTCATTAAACGGAGTGGTTTTTTGCCATTATTCTTTGATCACAAAAAAATCCCTTTGAACAAAATCTTTGTTCAAAACATTTAACAAAATAGTTTGAAAAAAATAGTAATCCAAATACCATCATCTTTCCAGATTCTGAAAATTTTATTCCTATTCCTCCTAATGGAGACTATAGTTTGAAAAAAATTGTTATTTTTATCCCCCAAATTCAACTAATCAATTTTGGATTTTTGGGCTCAAAGGATCTCTTCCCTATTTAGAAATTTATCCAAATGGATTTGGAGGGCTTTCTCTAAATTTAACTGAGCTCTATCACTTGGATTGTCTAAAATTCTCTTTTGGGTTTCAACCAGTTTGGCCATTAAATATGTTTTCTTTTTAATGATATGCCCAAAATGCTCTCTATTCCATCTCTTAATATTTTGGATCAATACCTTAAAAAAAAAAACGGATTGCTCTAGATCCATAAACATTATTATTCCAAGAACTGGCCACAACTTCTGAAAATTTTGGATCTTCACGCAACATAGCTTCGAACCTAAAAGGTCTATGCCCTTTAGGAACCTTATAGTCAGTGTTAAGTAGGGGTGTCAATGGACTGGTTTTGGGTTGGACTCCGTCCAAATCAAAATCCATATGGATGGATTGGACGGACCAATAAGACATATTGAATTTGGACGAACTAAACAAACCAATATGACATATTGGATTGGACCTGATTTGTCCATAACAAATTTATATTGGATTGAGCCAATATCAATGAACCACATTTGAATTGAAACCAATCTAAATTAACAGAAATTTGAACAAATTGAACAATCTCTGGACATGTCCAAAATATTCATTGGACTGGATTGGACCAGGTCCATTTATAATGGACTCACATTGGACTGGACCGGATTGGACCAAATCCAATCCAATTGACACCCCTAGTGTTAAGGAGGATAGGGGAGTGGTCTAAAGAGAGAAAGGGGATATTTTCAAGAATTGCATGAGAGTACTCCAAACCCCAAGCATCATTATAAAAAGCCCAATCCAACATTTCCCACGTATGTTCCTTAAATTATATTGGATACCTAACAATTTCATTTCAATAAGATTGCAGTCACTAATCATGTTATTAAAGTTTCTCATATGGCTAGGGAGAACTGCTCTCCCACTAAATTTATTTGAATTGGAAGAGAGGGCATTGAAATCTCCAATTAGACACCTAATCCAATCCCATGCCCGAATTTGCTCATTATCAAAACCCTATTTTTGCTGGGTTCTCTGTCTAGACCCCTAATTCACCCACAAACATCGATCAAACCATTTCGACCCTACCAAAACCCAAAGAATCCAAGAACCCAAATTTCAACCCCCAAATGCCTAAAATCCATCGTTGAACCCACCTAATACCCTTAACTAGATTACCAAAATTACCCCTTGACCAATTACCAAAATACTCCTTGGACTAATTACCAAAACACCCCTAACCTAATTCCTAAATTACCTCTTCTTTCATATTTCCAAAATACCCCTTGGACTAATTACCAAAATGCCCCTAACCTAATTCCCAAATTACCTATTTTTCAAATCTCCCAAAAATACCCCTTGACCAAATTACCAAAATACCCCTTTGACCAATTACCAAAATACCCCTGACCTAATTCCCAAATTACCCATTTTTCTAAATCTCCCAAAATACCCTCCATCCCAAATTCATGAATTGCCCTTTTAACCAAATTTACCAAAATGCCCTTATTCAACAAAATTACCTAATCTACATACCCTAAATCATCAAATTGCCTCAAAATTACCCGATTACCCTTTCATCCCAAATTACCAATTTATCCTCCAAGCTAAAACACCTTCACTCACCAAATTACTTGAGTACCCCTCTAAATCTACCCCCCAAAACCCCTAAATTACCAAATTTTCCTTCTTACCAAACTACCCCAAGGTAAAATTACAAAATTACCCTTCGGGCCCAAGTTATGAAACCTTCCTATTCCTCCAAATCCCAACCTTTCAAACCCCCAATTGTTTTAAGATTTGGCTAGAACCACCCTTCCCCTCTCCTTATAAATAGAGGGCACCCATCCCAAGGAGAGGGAGGTCAGATGAGAAAGAGGGGGATCAAGAATTAGAGAAAATGAGGGGGGCATGAGGAGGCTCTAGTCGCTTTAGGCTTTTGAAGGAAGAGAGAGAGTTTGGTTAGGCTAGAGCAAGGCGTTTGAGAGAGAAAACGAGAGAGAGCTCGCACGAGAGGGTTTGTGGAAGAGAAGATGGAGACTTTGACTGAGTGAAGAAGGAGATTAGAGAGAAGAGCGAAATACGAGAGAGGGATTTGAGAGAAAAGGTTGTGAGGGAAGCGAGAGAGGGTCTAAGAGAGAAAACCTTCTTCAAAGAGAAAGCTAGAGTTGAAGTTGTTCATACCAAGCGAAGGCATTGTTGAAGAATTCGTTTCCTCAATCCTTCTGTCAAACCCAGGGAAGTGTTTGGGTGTTTGAATTTCTTAATAGGAGGAGCTCACATTGTCTTGCATTCTGAAGGAGTATCTCGTGTCATTGACACATCAGCTTCTACCAGGTCCATATTCAAAGATTAAGCCAAAGTGTTTCTGGCTGAAAATCGCTTCCTGAAAAGTTCAGCCCCTGGGATATCTTGCAGCATTGTCAATTCTTACAGAGGTAAAAATCAATTACCTCACAACCCTAAGTTCATCTCCAAATCCAATCTTATATTTAGAAATTAATCTTGGTTTTATTTTAGTTAGCTATCTATTTGTTTCATTGTTTTTCTTTCTTTTTTTCTTTGTCTCTATAATTTTCCTTTGTTAGTTTAGTCTAGTTTTAGCCTTGCATTCAAGTTCGAATACGAGAGCCTACGCATTCTCTAGCATCCGAGAGGTTCGTGCTTCTTCTTCCTTTTTGACCAGCCAGCCGAGTCCGAGGTTGGAGGTTCTAATAGAAAATGGGCAATCCCTCATCCTTTTGCTTAGGCCCCTACCTCCAAAAGGGGGTTGGTCCGGAAGTGAAGGAAGAGGCATTCTTCTCCTTTCGAATGGTTGGAGGATTTAAGTTTTTTTATTTGAATCTAAAATAAAAAGGGAATTTCGG